TGCAATTTTGCGTTATGACTTTGAATTCTGTTTATGAAGGATAAAGCACTTTCTTTTGGACCTTGTTTTAATGTTTGCAGATCATGAATAAGACTATTCAAATCACGCGAATCTCCGAAATGTACGATTAATAGTTGTTTTATATCTCGCCAAGTTTCAACGTTTCTACAATTTATTAATTGTGATGCTTTGCCTTTTAGTTTATTTTTAATATGAACGGTTAATAAAAACTCTTGCTGGTCTACAGCAATCGAAAATGCTATGTCGCATGAATTTATAAAAGCATTTAGAAGAATCTGATCACCATCATATTCTGGGATTAACATAAATAGTTCTCTCAATTGATAAGGTTCTATGGTAGAACTTGCATTTGTACTTGAGGGTTGCTGATTTTGCGAACCTTGTTGATCTGACGAATTGTTGTCAGTCATTTTAATATAAAAATTTTTGTTAATTGATTATTGCTTATCAAGTTGTAGATAAAGATTTGATTCAACGAAATCAAATTTGAAATTGGATTAAAACAATTAGGAAGTTTACATATAATCCTCCTAGATTGTAATCAATATTGATTAAATAGTTTTTGCTATTTAATTTGGTTTTGGAAATTGTATGAAAGGAAATACAGTCTTGATAAAAATCGGACTTACATGGGTATTTTTCCTTCGACAAAAAGTGTTGACAGTTCGGACAGGGCTTCACTGGGTGTTCCTTCCTCTGAATTGTTTTTCTGTGTTGTTTTGATCAGACAGGGGCTTCACTGGGTGTTCCTTCCTCTGATTTTCTTGTGGTTCGTTGGGAATGTTGCTTGGACAGGGGCTTCACTGGGTGTTCCTTCCTCCAAAACTTGTTTTTCCCGTTCGCGAATTTATCGAAAAGAGTCTTTTTTTTTTCACTCAAAACGATAGATCACAAATCCTACCGACTGCGCCAATTGTTGGGTCTTGGATCCCAATATTTAGTTTTTAAAAAAAGTTTATTTTCTGTTTTCACACACAAACACAGTTTTAATTAATATTTGATTTATTTCACTTTTTGGATTACAGTTGTTTCGTGACTCGACTTATATAATTTAATATTTTAATTTACAAATTGGAGTTTACTTAGTAAACGTTTTATATGAGAGTTTTGAGAAGAGTGGTTTTAAAAGTATATAATACAATATTAAAATTGAAAATCAAGAGTGGGGCTGGGCTGACCATTGCATCATCTTCTTGCAGGTGTTCATAGGATCCCTTTGTTTCGAGAAGCTGAAGTTGCGTTTTTGTTGTGGGTTTTAATTGTTTTATTATTTCCTTTGGATATGATAAGTACATTGTAGCATATTGTTAATATGAAACTACTGTTTAATAATATATAACATGTATGTGTTCATTAAAAGGTATATTATTATTTACTAATACGGTTATAAATTCATTAATTAAATAAAATTTGTTAATAAAATAATTAAAATAGAGGAAAATCACTATTCAAATGAAGTTTTGATAAACTGCTTTATTCTTCATAGACAATATGACAAACTTGCTAGAACATGCAGACACTTTTTGTATGTTGTACCTTTAATTTGGTTATAACTATCCATTAAAAATAAATATTTTCATCAATTTCTTTTGGTAGTTATTTTTCTTTATTTTAATAATAATAAATATCGGAGAAGTTTTGTTATTCATACCAAATTAATATACATGAGCAACATTTTATCAGTTTTTTTTATATTACTAGGGTAATTGTAAAATATCTTTGTTAATATTAACTTTAGGTATAGGGATTAGTTAAATTAATGAAAATGTATTATAATTTCATATTTAATTATGTAAAAATATACAAGGCGTTCCATTGAGAATAAAAAAGTTATTGCTGTTTTAAGTTAGTTACATTCACATTATTTTTTTAAGCATCTTTTTAGAAATATTACAATAAATTACATGGAATCTTTAAAACAGTGCTTTAGGATTTCAATAAATCCAACCGAATATCAGCAAACCTAATATTAAAAAAGTTATAAGCTTTTTTTGTTTAGGGTGAAACCGACCAAATTTTACAAAAAAAATTAAAAACTATTAAGTTTAGGTAAAGGACATTATAAAGCCATTTTATAAGGAATGATGGTAAGAATTGAAAAATGTAAAAAAATGTGGTGATCCATTTAAAATAACAAAGTTAATATCGCTTCCGTTAAAACCGGAAGAGGAATTTTGTTCAAAATAATTTAGAGAAATAAGTTAAATGATTATAATTGCTATAAAAATTTCAATTCGATATCTTTTCCCGTTCTCCATAAACGTCTAACCTACCATCCACCGTGATCAGTTCTTCTTTTGAGACTATATACCATGTATATAGTCTCAAAAGAACAACTGAACCATGATACAAGGTTTCCTTGTATCATGAACTGAACTAAATATTTAGTATATAAAACCAAGAAACAAGCAGTATGTCCCAAAAAACTTTAGCGTGTTTTTGCTTTGATTGGGTTACAAAAAAGAAGCTCGTAATGTTTCAGTTTTTAGTTGCCTCTTTTTTGCAACAATTTTTTTAGACCAAATTTAAATGTTGAAGCCGCTAAAAATTTAATTTAAAATATTAATAAATAAGTAGTAAATATATTTATTGGAAAACCAAAAGGCACTAGCCGGCCACTAGACGTCTTTCTGACTAATATTTAATATTAATAAAATATGTGAACATAATATACTACTCACAATTATCGACCAGTTATTCTAGCATAACTTTTTAGTTAAAATATTTGTTTTTTTTAATTAGGTAGTTTTTTAAAATACACATTTTTCTAAAAATAAGCAGAGAAAAAGTTGCAAAAAAGACCTCATAAAGTTTAAATGTTTTTAATTATATTTATTAACTAATTATGGACAAGTTATGAACTAATATTAGACCAATTATATGGTATTTTTGCTACTTTTAAATCACCTGCCGTATGCAGGTGCTTTAAAAAGAGCAATAAATTCATTTAAACATCATATTAAGGACTAAATATCTTGTAAGTTTCATGTTTCTATCTTGAAGTCAACACATTCTTAGAATAGAGAATTAAACAATAATCGTTTTTTAAATTTCAATATGTTTGCTGCTTTTAAAGCCCATGTAAAAGCAAAATGGTTGAAAATATCAAAACAAGTTAAATAGGCATTTGAAGTTTAAGGTAAGGACTAAATATCCTGTTAATTTCATATTTCTATATTGAAGTCAACATACTTATTAAATGGATGAAATAATGCGACTTTTTAATATTTCAATATTTTTCTCCCTTTAAACCTACTGTATAAGCTTCAAATATAAAAATAACAAAACCAAACTACCAGGCAACATTAAGGTAGGGACTAATTATCCTGTAAATTTCATAATTCTATTTGGAAGTCAATATCCTCATATAATGGCCTAAATAATGCGATTTTCTGGAATTTCTTAATTTCAAGCAATTTTTTTGGAAACCGTATGTCAAACGGGTCAATTGTAAGTTTTATTTTGTCTTAAACTTAATATATAAAAAAGTAAAATACACGTTTTTTCAGCACCGTGTAATTATTTAGAAATATTGATTGAGTGAATTTATATTTTTTTTATAAAAACTACTATTTTTAGCTTTAAAATTACATCTTAAAATTTAAAATATCTTTAATAGAAAGAAAATTACAGCTTAAATTATTAAAGCATAAAAAAGTTTTAATTCGAATAGGGCGGATTTGCCACATGCGAAAAATTAAATAAGGGTGGATTTTGTCCTTTGGTACCCTAATGAATATTTATATAAAATTTGATCAAAATCCAAGATTGTCGATTGTCATTAATTTTTGGTGTCCAGTGGACTTTGTGGTTGAGCAATTAATTTGTCATTTGTTATAATAAAGCCAATCAGTGTTTTACTCGTTACTGTAACTCGCGTTGGGGAGGTGACAACTTGATAGAACCCATTTTGGTAAATTTTGCTTAACAGTTTTTTACCAAAAAAAGAGTATTTTAATAAGTCACTTAACTGGTCCAAATAATCAGAAAAAACTACAAAATTTTGTTCGAAAAAAATTTGTTCAAAGGAAATTTGTTCGAAAGAAATTTATGCCTCGGAATTGCGCGCCCGCTCCGCGGAATTGCGCGCCCGATAGGCAAGATGGCGGACTCACTCACTTAGTATTTGTAGGGTGTATATATAATATTAGTAATAGTGTAGAGTAGGGTAGTTTATAGACTTCTCTTTATGAAATTTTCTCAGCTTTTCAGGAAAATTATCAAAAAGTGTGAGAACAGTCGTTTTGGCATTTTGGTTTTTTATCAATAAATTATCTATTGTATGTAAATACATAAAATTAATATTGAACAAGCACTCAATTGATAAGCAAAACGTATTTAGTTTATTAAAAGCATTTAAATAGTGCACACGGCACTTCTACAAATTTAACTATACCGGGTGTTTGGAAAACACCCTTTGTTAAACATTTAGTGGGCGGGTTGGGAGGTTTTTACACAAAGCGAATGCGCATGCGCAATACAACCCAATGAAACGAAAACGAAAAGATAGGCTTTAAATTTTTATTCAGTAAATGCATTACTTGGAGTAGCTCCAGTTACAGTATATGTAAATCTATTATCATTAAATTCTTCTTCATCTAAAGTTGTAAAATCAAAAGTACCATGCATATTTTCAATTGCCGTTAATCTATCTTGAGCTTTATTTATATTAATAGCACGAATTGAATTGAATTCATAATTTTATTTGGTAAAGCATTTGTCAAATATGTTTTGAATTTCTTTATACCATTATCATCATATTGATCTACATTTATATTGGCAAAACCCCATTGTAAAGGTCTTGGTATATATGGATCAACAGGAATTACTTCAATAGTTATTTTTAACGTTAAAAATCCACAAAATATATGGTTTAATAAATTATTTTTTGCCATTATTGGCATACCCTTAATAAAAAATAAGGGAGGAATTTTACTATATTTATCATCGTTCACATAACTGTACTGATTTCTAATCGCTTATTCATGACTTGCTCTTTCAGTAGGAAAAGTGTTATCACTGTCAATAGCTGAATAGTGTTGAGGACCTCGTAAAGCATGGAATACTCGGGTATTTAAAAAAGACTCATAATCAGTTGGAATTGTTCTTGTATTTGGTATTCCCATTCGCACGTCGTAATTATAAATAGGCTCACCGAAATTTAAAGTGTTACAGTCTACAATATTAAATTCTGATTTACATTCTATAGTATGTTTTAACACATTTTCACCAGGATATAATAATTTTACATTTTTATTATCTTGCAAAAGATCAGGATAATAGGTTTTTTTAATATCGTATAAAGACAAAGGTTGCATCATATTATTTTCTGAAACATTAGTTGGTTTTGCGGGAGTGTTGGTGGCAGCACCAGCTAAAGTATCATCTGCTACTTTCTTTTGAGTTAAAGGAACAGGAATAAGATATTCAATATCGTTAACAGGTAAAATTAATTGCTCATTCTTATTAAATCCTGAGCCATCATAAGATCTATAAAAATTAAAAGCTGTATTTTTATCAGAAAATATATTTGAAATTCTTATGTGTTGAGTGTCGTGAATTTCAGGACAAATTGAATATATAGTATTGTTAAAACTTAATTGATCTTGTTTTCCTGCAGTTCCAGATTGCACACTAATAGGTGTTATATTATGAACTTTGATAGTGATACTTGGTTTGAATGTTTTCGAATTATGTAGTGAAGATATATATTCATTAACATTAAGAAAACAACCATAATTATTAGGTAAGGAATGATAGTTATGTAATTTTGCAGGAATAGTGGCAATTCTAATATTTCCATTAGCCTTTGTGTCGGTTGGTGTTCTAACTGTAATATCTTTGAAACTATTGTCGGCAGTTTCTCCATCTACAAGTTTAACAGGATTATTTTCCCAATAAACCAAACGGGATTTGGAAAAGGTTACATTCATAGTCAATTGTACAGTAAAGTAAAGTTTATTGAATGTGTATATTAGGGTAAATTATAAGGTAAAATTTATGATTTCTGGATAATCTTCGTGCTCCAAGAGGAAGTAGTCAAAATCAGATAGATGTAATTTTTTTAATGCTGAAAGAATATTTTCCTGATCTTTTGCAAATTTAGTTTGAATTAAATTTTCAAGTAAATTTAGCGTGTAAACAATTAAAGTTAAAAAAATTTCTTCAGTTAAAGCATGATACCTCGTACACGTGGTAACAGCGTTATTGATTTCCGTATTGAATAGGTCGGACGATGCGTGAAGAATCTGATTCCCACTACTTTCTTGGTCTGTAACAATGTGATTACAATAATGTTCAGGATGTGTACATATATAATCTAAAGATAATTTTACATTAAAATATAAATGCAACGAACGTGCAGAAATTGCAGTTTGTTCAGAAGAAACATGAAAAGTTACGTCTCTATTTGTAGTTACAATTATAGGTACTCGTTTACCTAAAGCTTGTGAAGCTTTATTTTTAACAGCTATTTCTACAGTTTCGTCACCTTCAAATGTATTTTTAACAGTATCAATATTACTACTATCATCATAAGGCTCATCCCATAGACCACAACCAGAATTAATTAAATTGGCAAATGTAAATAATCCATCATATGGAACAATTCTTGTATTAATTGGAAATTGTTTCCACAAAAATTTAGCAAATGTAGACTTACCACAATCTGGCGGACCTTGTAAAATAATAGTATTTTTTTTTGGTATTGCCAGTTGACCATAAAAATAAGTCTTTAATAAATTGTTTAACATTTATATTATTTCTAATTAAGTATTTCTAAAATAGGACAGGCACAACCGTACTTGCTTTTATTATTTACAAACTTATTGATAATGAAACAAATATTATTCTCGTGATAACACGACGCAACAAATTGTAAATAAACGTTTTGAGTTAAATTTGGAATATGTAAATAAGCCTGAGAAGCTTTTACTTGTAAAATTTCTTGTAAAGTACGTTTACCCAATTGCATTTGAGTGTTTAAAAATATTACTAATTCATTACTTGAAATAATATTCGTTATTTTTTGTTCAACATTACGTTTTTTGCCTTTTAGGAAAGCTATTTTCATCAAAAATATGAGTTCTATCAAAATTTATAAACATAGTTATTATTTTTTCACTAGTCCCAATAGGATTTTTTTTTAAATAATTTAAATATGACGCAATTGATTTAATGCGTTGATCAGAAATTTGTACGGTACATTGAATATTTCTACTTTCATCTAAAAGGTACTCAAAATTTCTAATAGATAATTTAATGCTTAAAATATCATAAATATTTTGAACCATTTTTTTATCAACTGTTTTATAATAAAAACAAGTTAAATGTGCATGAACTCCTCGCATATTTGAATTTTCAACTACAACTAATATTTCAACATCGTCAAGTTCAGTGACGCATTTTTTAACAAGGCGATTTAAATATTCAACGAATAAATACAATGAGTTAATGAAATTATAATGTAAACTAATCGGATCAATCATTGCCACAAAAGAAGAAGAACGCTTGCCCTTATTTACATTGAATGATATTTCGGAATAATATTGATCTATAAGCTGTTTATTGTTTTTTATTTAATTAGATATTTGTTCTTTTTCAAGTTCTGTGCGTTCCCACATAGGGCCGTCGGAAAATACTAAACCCATGTTTATACCCTTATTTCTTTCTTGACTTTCATCTGTATAATTCCTCCCAAATGAAAAAGATGTTCCATCAAAATTATCCCAATTTTATAATTTATTTTTAGCGTCATTCCAAACGTCTTCATTTACCTGGCCTTTTGCACGATAAGTTTGTAACAAATTTTTTCCAAATGTATACAGTTCTACATAATAAGTTTTGAAATAATTTTCATATTGATTTTTATTGTTATAATAACGTTACATAGCTTCCAAATCTTTTATTTCTTGAGCCATAGAGGCAATAGATCCTTCGTCACCAGGTTGCAATTTTCCACTTGTCATTTTACTTTTTAATGATGCAATTTTGGCTTTTGCATTTATTAAAAATCTATCTTTGTCAATTCCTAATATTAATGTTTGTCTTTTTAAACTGTAATCGCTAATACCGTGATATAAATTTCTAATTTGTTTATTACGTACCTCTTTGTATTTTGGATGAATTTTTTAAAATTTTTCTATTTCCTCTTTAGAAAATGTTGGATATATAACTCCATACTTTAATTCGAATATATTTTTGTATTTTATACCTTCCAATTCTTTTTATGAACCATTCATAAATACCTTTACTTTGGTAACCTTCCATGGATCTTAAAAATCTTTCATCAGCTTTATATATATCTAATGGTGATTTTGCTTCTTGGTATGCAATGTCATGAGTTCTTGCAATATTGTCCATTTCGTTTGCAGCAGCATCGAATATAGGATTACCTGGACCTAAATGAGGATAATTTGGAAATATAGCCCAGTTTTTAGATTTAGATTTTTTTGGAGCTGGCTGTTCTGGAACCGAGTAATCTTCTCTTTCAAATGGAATATGTTCGTATTCAATTATATCACTTTCTTCGATGTCATAAAGGCTATTCCATAATTCATCTTCATTGTCATCGATGTCTCCTGATCTATCTTTTCGTTTTCGTTTCATTGCGTTGTATTGCGCATGCGCATTCGCTACTGGTCCAAATAATCAGAAAAAAACTACATAATTTTGTTCGAAAAAAATTTGTTCGAAGGAAATTTGTTCGAAAGAAATTTATCCGAAAGAAAGGCAAAATATCGAGAGATAAATATTTTTTATTAACCACTAGATATATATACACTGACTTCCAAAAAAAGTGGCGCACTACATTATTTTCAATTTATACATTAAGTATTTAAAGTAAGACCAAGTTTTCCCTTTTAAAATTCAAATTAAACATACTAAAGGATAAAATTTAAGTTTATTTAAAAAAATAACAAAATAAACAGCATGAAAAACTTAAAAATAAAAAAATTACCAAAAACGGAAATACCATTAACATTTTTAGATGGACACTTCTGACTCAAAACATAAACAAATTTGTGTTTTAATTTTTATTAATACCGTGTGTTGCCCCCTCGGGCTTGAATCAAAGCAGCAATTCGTCTAGGCATACTTTGAATAAGATTATTGATAAAGTTCTGATCAAGATTCTCCCATTCTTCTCGTAGGGCATTACGAAGTCCTTCCAGGGTCTTTGGACGAACAGGTCGAGCTTTAAGTCGTCTCTCTAATTGATCCCATACATGCTCAATCGGATTCATGTCGGGGCTCATAGCAGGCCATATTAAACGCTCAATTCCGACTTCCTCTAAATAATCAATTACGCACCTTGCCACATGTGGCCTTGCATTATCCTGCATGAACAAAAAATTTGGACCAATAAAGGGGGCAAACGGAACAACATAATCTTCAAGAATGTCTCTAATGTAAGAATTTGCATTCAAAGAACGTTCTCGAAGAATAAATAGCTCTGTTTTTGCGCCTAATGAAATGCCAGCCCAAACCATTACTGAACCACCCCAAAAATTCTCTTGCTCCACCACAGTAGCTGCACTATACCTTTCACCTCGCCTTCTCCAAACTCTATGGCGTCCGTCAGGTGAACGCAAGCTAAACCGGGATTCATCTGAAAACAAAACACGCCTCCAATCATTTTCATTCCAACCTTGGTGAATTTGGGCAAACTGAAGTCGCTGTTGTCTGTGCCGCAACGTTAGTCTAGGTACCCGAGCAGGTCGTCTTGACTTTAAACCATTTTCCTCCAAGCGTCGTCTAACTGTTTGAGCACTTACAACTCTTTGTCTTGCACCTAAAAGTCTTTGAGCGAGCTCAACAGCTGTTTGATGACGGTCTCGTAAACTTTGTAGCAGCAAAAACCGATCATCTCTTGCTGATGTAGCTCTTGGGCGACCCGATCCATGACGCCGGGTCATCATGTTTGTTTGACGGTATTTCTGGAGTGCCCTTCGAATGGTAGTTTCTGGTTTATTCAACGCACGAGCGGCATATCGCACGCTCCGCCCATCTTCCACTAACGCCACTGCTTTTGCAATTTCTTCGGGTTTAATTTGCATTGCTTAAAGTATCTAAGTTTAAAATTAATTGTCGCGTTCAATCTAAAATGAATATTAAAAAAGAAATGGAAAAATTGCATTTTTTTATTTACCTCAAAGCTTGAAAGTAATTAGAAATAACACAGAATCTGAACACTGATGTCCTTTTATATAACTAATGTCAAAAATTGACGTTAAAATTATGCAAATAAAACAAACCATAAACAAATTTCAAATAGAAAGCAAATTTCAAATAGAAAGCAAAAAAATTTAAGTGCGCCACTTTTTTTGGAAGTCAGTGTATATATATATATATATATATATATATTTTAAGGCGGTAATGAACTTCCAAACTGTCGGATGCTCAGCTCCAATCTATGCTTGTAAACCGAGATGCCATCCTTCCAGAGCATTGTTTGTCTTCGGGAGATTTTCGGTTACAGACTGGAAGCAATTCCACAATGCAATCGGAAATGCACGGCGTTGTTGTCGGCGAACCGTACGTCCAATACAATTGCCCTCGAAGTAATCAACAACCTGCTGGGCTGTTAACATCCTAATTTTTAATGCAAATTTTGCAGTGCCATAAGTGTGATTAAGTCCTGAAGATTGAATTTGTCTATATATACATTGGCAGAAATGGAAAAAGCACCCCCTTATTGGGAAATTTAAATAATAATAAAGCCGCACTCTCAAAGTTAATCATTACAGATAATTGGTTAACATTTGGATTTAACTCCTTAATAGCACGTAAAAGTTCCCGGTATGCTGTCTCTGTTTTATTGGGCAACAATGCATATAATAATGGAATTGCAATGCAATCGCTAAATCCATGTACAGTGTACAGTTGCGCGAACTGTGTTGGCACTGTTTTAAATGTTCCATCAGCATACCAGTGTAGGAAAGACTCGAGAAGTTCCAGATTTTTTCGGGTGCCAAAAATTAAAATCCTGTCGGGTGTCATTCCAGAATCGTACAATAGGAAGTTTTCACCACTTGTCTGCTTGTATTGGTCTGGAAAATTAATATCGGCCCGGGTCTTGGACTAACAGGGCCAGCTTCTATCTTGTTCCTTACAGTTCGTATCGTTCTCTTCATTGTTTCAACACTAGGTAGTTAAGTAGCAGCGGCTTGACTTAAATTGAGTAGAAATATTAGAAATAATATAATGAGAAGGATCACGACCGGTTTCTGCTACTTGCTTCATGGATCCATATACAATTCTGGCCTCAATACGTGCTGCATAGGGTTCGCAATCCCGAAATCCCAAAACCGAAAATACCGGGATCTCGTCTGTTTTTCAATACCGAAAATACCGGGATCACAAATCATGATCCCGGTATTTTTAGTATTTAAATTTATGTTGAACACTTCCCTAAGTGCCAACTTATATGAAGCCCTAAGGGTAAGGATTGCTCAGCGCAGAACTTATTGCTCAGGTATTATCCGCTATTTGCATAATTCAAATTATAAAGAATCAGATGCTCTGTTCGATATTCTAAAAAAAAAAATATTAGGGAAATGCTTGAAAAACTTATAAAACGTTTACAAAAAAACAAATATATCTTATTAAGAAGACAATGACGAGGATAAAATTTATCTTTTAGCCGTGCTACTACTCCAGCCTCAAATTGAAACTAACAATTTTTTAAATTATTGACAAAAAACGCAATGAACCCAATAAAAATCACCCTCAAACCGATTCGGTAACATCAACTCTAAAAAAAGAAATGTCGCTTTTTGAAAATGGCGGAAGCAGGGATCCATTCCTCAAGCTGAAATATGATTTCTTAATGTCCCCACTAGTGTGGAGTCGGAAAGGGTGTTTTCGGCGGTATTGGTTTAGCCACTGAACACCTAGAAATATTTTTTGGTTTAAATTTTCTTTTATTAATAAAATTAATAACTACCTATGCTTTGTATTCTTTTAGTTTTTAATATCAATCTCGAAATCCCGGTATTCCCGGGATTGTTAAATATCGATATCATAACTCCGGGATCATATTTTATCTTCGAGATTGCGAACCCTAGTGCTGCATCTCCTGAATGATTATGCAAGTTATTTATTTCACCTGATGTAATTGCACGTCCTTTACACGATTTTTTTTTAATTTTCACACTTTCAATAAATTATATCTTCACTAACTTTGTAGGAAGTGTAAATGAAACAGTTGAGAGAAAAAAGATTTTTGCCTTTCGAACTTTTAATCAAATTTAGAGCCATAGCAAGATGAATAAATTAAGACTGTCAATTGTTGTAAGGGAATTTATACCAATTTAAGTATATGCAGATTAAAATTGTTTTAATATTTTTAATAATAAATTACCTTGCAAATAAAATACCTTTCGAAAAAGGATTAAAATATAATACCTTTCGAAAAAGGACTACAATTAGTTTTATTTTTTTAAATTAAATGATTAAATGATCTTAAATTAAATAGACTTGTAAATAAAGTAAAACCTCCGAACAAATTTTTGTTCGAACACATTTTTTTTAAACAAATTTCCTTCAAACAAATTTATTTCGAACCAAATTCCGGATACGAAGTATTTTGTCCTGGCAGATGTTATTTCCAGTGATAAAATCTAAACATAATTTTAAACATAGTTTGTTGTTTTAACCTTCGTTACGAATTAAGGCTATTACGCCTCCGGTTCTTTTACTTGTAGATACGCATTTTTTTAGACAGTATCCTTCGATTTTGAGTTCGCATTCTTTAATTTCAAATGTTGCATGTGTTTCTGATAATAGTGCCAATTTAGGTTTCCAGTTGTTTAGTAGTATTGTTATGTTATCTAAGATGTTTATATAGCTTTGGCAATTAAAGTATATAATACTGGAATTTAAAACAATTTTACAATCTAATTGCTATTTTATAAATTTATTAGTTTGCATTCTTTTAATTCATTTATAAGTCTCGCACCAGTTTCACTCCATATTGTTCGTTTGCTAAAATGAACAGGTATTGATCTTATATCAATCTTTAAAATTGCCATCTCTACTTTAGTACTTAAAAATAATTATTCATCTTATTATTTCAAACTTAGTTTAGTTCACGCTTAGCAACTCTTTCGAAACAATAATCGCAAATCCAAAGAGTATGAATATTCGACAAAGAGTCATAGCATTTGCGTGCATTACTCTGTAATCGACTGGTAACAGGCCGAATAATTGTTTTATTATCCCATCATAAAAAATTAATAAATCTTCTACCACTTGGTATTCAACAGATATAATTAGCGGGAATTAGTTTTTCGCCGATCGTCACCTTGAGCCCAGAAAAATTTGCTCGCACTTTTTTGTAGAGATTCTTATTCTTTTAACTTTTGTACTTTTGCTTTCGCTCTTCGACTTCTTCTGGATGGGCCAGAACTTGAAATTGTAGTCGAAAAACTACTAGCGCTACTGCTTAAGGAAGACGACCTTGTTTTTCCCATCAATGAGTTCTCACTTTACTTATAAACAGGAATTCCTTTATGGTCGTAATAAGTCGCACTTGAGCCACTTTTTGCACAATATTAGGAACCACGGCCGCAATGTCTTTTACACATCGCGAATTTAGGTGTTTC